TCAGTGTCTTCTATCTCACATGGATATGCTGTCAGGGAATATTTTCATCATCCTGTCATGCTTAGAAAGCTGGGCCCTTGATCCAGGTCATTTCTAAGTCAAAAGTGATATAGTTTCCAGATCTCTGTGCTCAGAGGAAATCCCTGGCAGAGCCTCCGGCTCTGAGAGATGTGACATGTGCTTCTGCAGTGCATCTTGCACACGTGTGGCATGGCGAAAGGTAATTTAACACCTGTCCAGTTTCCCTTGAGGCTCTCCAAGTGAGTTAATGGGATGTTGGGCACAGGGTGAAGAGAAGCACCTGAGCCGACAAGTGTTACAGAGTATCAGCACTTCTGGCAACAGGTCCTGCCCGCTACTTGGTTCCTATGCACAGGGCAGTCCCTGCTGGACTGCACCTCAAAGCTAGACTTCTCTGGTGATAACACGCCTCCTCTGTGGTTCCCTATGGGCTCCATTGTGTAGGGCAGTGCCTCAGGGCATGGTGGTGGGCAGTGCTTACTGGATCTGTCCACTGTGAGGGCTAGAGTCCAAGAATGCAATTGTCACCTTGGTCTCCCACATCTAGTCATCTATTATGCAAGGGATCTAAGATTCTGAAAAGCTTGCAAAATGATTTGCTGAAGTGGACAACCCAAAATATGAAATGAAATGTGTTGGATTTACCAACAATACTTTCATGATTATTACACACTTAAGTAATATAATATACAGCATGGGTATGATGTTAACTTCCTAACTCTTCCTTTTTGGGAACTGGTGAAAGCTCCTTGAGCCAGACCAGACAGAGCTTTCAGTGTTTCTTTATTGGGGATGGACATACAGTACAGTGAAGCTGCAGCTTATGCTCAGTTAACTAATGCAAATTTAATGAGAAAGAGAGAGAGAGAGAGAGAGAGAGAGAGAGAGAGAGAGAGAGAGAGAGAGAAACAATGAGAATTTGCCTTGTCTGGTGAGTATGGCTGCTGTTCTCAGTGAGCTACTTCTAGGCATGAACGAGAGGTGGTGATGGTGCTGGTCTTCCCTTGGCCTTGGTACTTGCGGGCCTCTTGCAGGGAAGGTCCTGGCTGTGGTCGCTGTCTACACAGGTTTGTTTCTTACATCCAGCCCTCTTTATTACTTCCTGCCCATTACTGAATCCATTATACACAGTAACATCTTTTACTGAGCAGGGCTGCATGTAACAAATGAGGCAAATGGTAGTTTATATGGACAATTGGACAATGTAAGGGATTCTCAGGGGACAATTTTAATGGATTTTTTGCCATGTATGCTGAAGTTCAGACCCTCATTTCTGGGTCAGATGTAACTGCATTAAAATGATCACACTAATGATGAGAACAACATGAGCAATAATGATAGCTGTCACTCACTGGTTACATGCTCAGCCCAGCCACCAGGAAGGTGCGTTCCAAGGACTGTCTTCATTTTATCTTCATAACAATTCTGTGCATCAGATATCATGATATTTTGATGCAACCTTTGTAGTTGAGGTACACATTTCACAGAGTATACTTTGGTGAGTCTTTTCACATGTACACACTCATGGAACCATCGCCCTGACCAAGATAGAGTGTCCCCATCCACTCAGCAAGTTCTACACCCTTTCCTAGCTAGCTAGCACAGCCCCCTGTGGAGGTGGCCATTCTGACTTCTAAGACCATAGTTCATGATCTTATATGCGAGGACTTCATATAAATGGAACAATACAATATATACCTTTTAGTGTCTGGCTTCTTTCAGACAACATAATATTTTTGACATTCATTTACTTTGTTGTGCTTAGCAATAGTTCATTATTTTTATGGCTGTGAAATAGTCCATTGTATGAATACATATATATATGTATATATATGTATATATATATATACATATATATATATATATATATCTCCATGCATTAGATGTTCTTTCCATTTCATAGATGAAAAAAATGAGGGGTAAGATAAATTATACAAAGTCACATAGCTGGCAAGTGACACAGCATGGATTTGAACTGAGGACCATCGTACACCAAAGGCTCTCAGGCATCACCTCTGTGTGGGGATCATGGCATGTACAGACTGAATACAAGACACAAGCCCGTTGACTATGGGATGCCATAAATGTACCTGTACCACCAAGTGCCCCTTTCCAGCTGGTTTTCTGCAGATGGACTAAGCCTTGGAAACGTAGGCACCTCCCCACATTGGAGGCTAGGCTATAACTAAAGCCAGAGAGCCTCTATTCCGTTCCTCAGTCTCGATTCCTGACTTTAAGAGAAGAGGTATTACTTTGATGTGTGAATCGTGCCTTTGATCAAAAGCTTGCTGGCTCCCTTGTGTCTCTTAGAACAAGACAGTAGTTCTATTGTGCTGGTGCGTGTTGTAACATTTTGGACAGCAGAAATGACATTTACATGAAACAGCCATCCTTGGAAAGCACGAGATAAGACAATTTCAACAGCGCTTCGAAGAACAGTCCCCAACGATGACTTTAAATCAAACAAAAGTAATAGCGTGTCATCCAACTTCCCCTCTCTACCTGGTGTTAATTAAAATCCTGATAACAGAACTCAGTCAACACCCGCATGAAGAAGGCCAAAGAACAGCTTAAAAATGTTCAGATGAAAGTGCAGTTAATCAGAATTAAAACAAAAACACTCCCACAAGTCTTCATTCTCATTTGGCTTCTACTGGATAAGATGATTAATAAGCAAAGGTAATTTCTAAGGACCCCTCCCTGCACCCCGTTGTACTTTCCGAACAGAACCATTAGAAATAATTGAACAATTACTTTGTGTAATGTTATCAAAGTTTATTAAATTGTTCCCACCAGCTTTGTCCAATTACTCAACCCTGATTTGCATATTGCAAAGCAGAGTGGTGAAAGGGGTTCCCAGAGTAGAATCTAGTTATTGCTGAGCAGAGAGAAGTTGTAAAGTCAGTTCAGATCCTTTCCTCTTACAGATTAGGACACTGAGGCTCAGAGGTGAACAGACCTGGCCAAGCTTCACACAAGCTACAGACGGGGCAGGGCTGTGCCCCCTGCTCCCCAGAACCCCCATCTGTCTGCAGGTCTCATGTTGTCCCCAACGAGGCCAGAGCACACTTCCCCGTTCCTGCACATCTCAATTAGTTCCAATTTAGATGTGACATCAAGCATGCACTTAAAATGCAAATCCACTCAGATAGGACAGGAAATAATAAAGGCAGAGTATTCCAGTGCAATTCAGTAGCTCAAGGACCTTGGGATTTTGTAGTGACAGGCTGAATGGTCCTAAATTTGTTCTTTTTTGGGGGTGGGGTGGGGTGAAAAATGAACTTCCAACACTTTCCATCTCTACCCCAGAAACCTCTTCCTAGGTCTCATTTGGATCTTGCTTTTATTTTTAAACTGTTATCAGAAAGTTACCAACACATGCAAAAGTGAGACAGTCCTCTAATGCCCTGACACACGAGTCTATCCAACACCCCGTTCAATGATGATTGACATATGGCCTGGCCTGTCCCTGTCGCCTCATACTTCCCTACTCCCTGGACCATTGGAAAGCAAATCACAGGCGTTGTAACATTCTTCCCATTCGCGCACATTCTTCAGCGTGGACCTTGCTTTTTTATTTTGGGGTCACTATATTTTGTAAGTCCGTGAAATGTGTGCTTTCTGACAATTTTCAGTAATGAAATACTATGCAGCCATGAAAATATTTTTGGCATGGGAAATATTCTTCATAATGTAGGAGCGTTAAAGTACCTACAGAACACGGAGCGTGTAACACACAGAGTGTGAAAGAGTGAGCATCAGATTGTAGTTTCTTTTCTTCTTGATGATCTTTTTTTCAATGAACATACATCATTTGTGTAATAAAATGAAAAGAACCTGTGAGAGTAGAAAAGGGATGCTGAATTCTACTACTTAGATTGTAGGAAGATGGACCAGGAAGGTGAAATGGCTCCTGATGTGTGTATGGGTCTCCTTAATCAAACTCAATGATAATAGAAGTGAAAGTGATTAAACTTTTTTGATTAACGAATGCTTTATGAATCCCCCACTCTGGGCCAGCCATTGTGCTACTGCTTGGGATTATAACCATGAGACTAGAAAGAAAACAAATGTGTCAGACTCTTAGGAATCAAGGTGTGGTCCATGGATTAGCATTGTCTGGGGGCTTGCTAGAAATCCAGATTAGTAGGCCCCATCCCAGACTTACCGAATCAGAATCTGTTTGTGATAAGCGCCCAGGTGACTCAAATGCCCATTAAAGTCTACCAAGTGCTGGGCTTGACATCCTTGTCAAGCTGGAGCGGGAACGTCCTTGATTGCTGGAATGTGTTTCGTTTGTTTCTGCTTTCTCAGCCTTGCTCAGAGCCTGTTCAGAGGAGTGGGTGGTGAAACGGTCAGGGTTGTAAATTGGCACTTGAAGTGGGGTCCTGATGCACCTGTGTTGACCAGGTGACCAGCTTCTGCTCCTGCCTCACAGCCTTTCTGACTCGCCATTGCCGAGGAAGCACCTTTGGACGCCTTGGCCAGGCATTCGAGGCCCAGGACAGAATAGGCTTTGCCACTGGTCTCGTCATTCTCGAGCAGCCATCCATCCTCTCAACACAGTGCCTTTGCCCCCACCATTAGGGACTCTGAGAAGATTGATCCCCATCTTCCCTGCTCTGTAAAGCCCAGATGCCACGCCATCTTCTCCAGGAAGCCTTCCTGGGATACATCAGGCAGCAGGGTCTCTTCCTTCTCCACAGCCTGCCAGCTGTGGCTCTCACTAGTCCCTTACACACATGTTGCCTGAAGAAATGTAAGCTCCCAAAGCCTCTGTTTCCTCAGCTCTGAAATGGGAATCATAGTTCCTTCTTCACAGGGAGTCTTGAGGCTAAATTGAGAAGTGTATATATAAAGCAGTGAGGATGATGTCTGCTGAGTATGTGCCAGGAACTCTTCTAAGCTTATTAACACCAGAAAGACATTGCATGTCATGATAATTCTATGAAGCAGGTACTGTTATTCTTCTGTTTTACAGAGGAGGAGCAGACACAGAGAGATTGACTGACTTGCCCAAGGTCATCACAGCAAGTGAAGGGGAAAACAGAGGTAAGATCAGGTGCCTAATTCATAAATACATACTTTTTAAAATTGTGAAAGGAACACAAGACACGAGATCTGCCCTCTTAATAAAATTGTAAGTGTACAATATGGTGTTGTTAACTATCGACCCAATGCCGTACAGCCGATGTCTAGAACTTATTTGTCTTGTTTAACTGAAACCTTATACCTGTTGAATAGCATCTCCCCATTTCCCTCCACCTCCAGCCTCTGGCCGCCACCGTTCTACTCTCTGCTTCTATGAGTTTAACTATTTTAGATACGTCATGCTAGTGGAATTTGTCCTTCTGTGCCTGGCTAATTTCACTTAGTACAGTGTCCTCAGGGTGCATCCATGTTGTCACAAATGGCAGGATTTCTTTCTTTTTCAAGGCCAAATAATATTCCATTGTATGTATTTAGAAATTGGAACCCTGTTGGTGGGAAAGTAAATGGGTGCGGCCAATATGAAAAACAATATGGAGGTTCTTCAAAAGATTAAAAATAGAACTACCTTATGACCCGGCAATCTCACTTCAGGGTGTTTGTCCAAAAGAATTGAAATCAGGATTTCCAAGATATATTTGCACTCCTATGTTCATTGCAGCATTATGCACAATAGCCAAGATGTGGAAACAATCTCAGTGTCCATTGATGGATGAATATGTGAGGTATACATTCTTAAATGCCTGCATTTGGTGGTTGCCCAGCAATGGGACAGTGAAGGTGGTTATTTCTGTCCTCCTGTCCCAGCCTCCCAGTGCCAAGCCCAATTATATAATTGTGTAAATCAATGCATGTTGGTTACATGCTTTTCCTGTCAACCAGTTCACATGTAGGTACTGAGGTTTGGCTGGAGCAGAGGCACCCTCTCCATCCCCACTGGCTGGTTTGGATGTCTTGGAACAAAAGTATACCCAGCTTTTTTTTTTTTATGAGGAATTATATGGCCTTCTCCAGCAGCAGACAGATGGCCCAGACATCTCCCTGCCCACCCGTGGCATTAGCAGTTCTTTCTGGTCATCATACTTGGTTAGCTGATGGAAACAAGGAAAGAGCCCTGGAACTGGAGTTAGGAGACATGGGTTAGAGCTCCTTGATTTACATGTTGTGTGCCTATCAATCTCTCTGAGCCTCGGTTGCCTCATCTGTAAAATGGGGACCATGATGCCCATGGCATGGGGTTATTCTAAGATTTCAATAGGAGCATGGAGAGAAAGATCTTTCAGACTATTGATGTTCAAATCATAACCTACTAGAAAGTGAGGACTCTGCAGAGACTATAAGTAGTTATTGAACATAACATCATGTGTTCTTTCTTTTACTTGAAATTAGATCCCAAATAGAGTTCAAATTACTAGCCTCCATAGTTACTTTAAATCAGTGCATCATGGACCCTTGGGTTGATGTATCTCAATTACCTGGACCAGTTCTACTAGAAAATGATGTCTTGAACATCTGTAAGCATCTTTGTTCCTTTTGCTTCATAATTTAGGACAAATTCCCAGGAGAGTGATTATTGGGATAGGAGGGAATGTTCTCAGTATTCTGATTCTTTAAGTGCATTTTAAATTTTGCTCTCTTATAACATTGTGCAAATTTTACCCTGGCTTCACTAGCATTGGGTTTTTACCATATTTTTAAAAATTAAAACACCTTTGTGTTTATTAACCAAAAAACCATAACTCAGGCATCACTCAGTCAGCTGAGTACCTTTAATATACTCATAACATTGCATTTATCACACCAAATGGTAAACAATTTATTTTTCAATCTTTCGCCCAGCCCCCCACCCCACCCAGATGTGAGCCACATGGAGAGTCTGTGGTCATGTTTCATAGCTGGAATGTAGTAGGTTTGCAATAATTATTTGTTGAAATGATCTCTGTTATCTTGTTGAACACAGTGGTCACTTTATAGTGTGTTGAAATAAAACTGAAATTTAGTTTTGCCCTGGGATGGTGGGTGTTGAATTAGAACCAAGGCTCTGTTGGACTGCAAAGAGGTTCAGGAAACGGAGTGTCTGAGGTTTTTCAAAGCACAGCTGCCTTCCTGTGAAGAGGTGCAGGCGAAACCCCTCAGCTTAATGTTTTACAGAGCAAATTTGGGTCCATAACCCAGTAAACTGATTACAGATGAGATAGCTCCCATCAAAGGCACACTGACGTAGACTGGGAGGTGTCCGCAAGCACACGTAGTCAAATGCAGTCTCTGCTCTGAAGAGACAATGGCTGAAAATACAACGTGCATATTATTGCAATGAGGGAGGCTGTTTTCAAAGGAGGGTTTTTAATAACTTAGTTTAAGCTGGAAACCAGACTGAGGTGAGGGCTTGGCCGATGAGGAGGCTGTGTGTAAAGAATGCCTGTGCTGTGGTTTCAGGAGGAGCAGTGCAGGAGCTTGAGAGTCTGCTGGGAAGGTGGAGGCTGGCAGGAGGGTGAGTGACATCAGCCAGGGCTCAGCTGGAGGGTCCTTTGAGATAACAGAGAGATGCTTGATGTTATAGCGAAAGAAAAACTGGTATAGCGAGGGAAGACCGGCTGCCGATGGCAGGAAGGGAGAGGAGAGTGTGACAACGGAGTGAAGGCACTTGTGGGGCATCCCTTGCTGGGTCGGGGAATGGGGTACGGCCTGTTCTCCAGACATCTCCTCTGAGGGCACACCTGAGGGGGTGTGCAGAGGGGAGAGGCGGCCTGAGGAAGGGTGCTGGGACAGCGCCTTCTAGCACCGTCCATCTGTCTCAGCCACTCACCCTCCATTCCAGCCAATCCAGCCCTCTTCACCATCTCCCATCCTTCAGCCCAAAGCCCTAGACTCTTCGTGTGCCAGCTGGACTTCCGCCAAAATATCTCTAGTGGTTGCCTCATCTCTTTCCTTCCAACACTCCATCTTCCTGGCTGCTGCCCAGAGTGAGTGACCTTTCGAAGGAATTCATCTGATCTCATTATTTCTCCATTGAAAACTCTCTAATTGTTCCCCACCACTGCCAGGAAGTCTCTTTGGGGTGGCATTCAAGGCCTTCCACAAGCCGTTCCCCGGGTCCTTTCTTTTTCTCATCTCCAGCTACATTCCCCCACATTGTGCTTGCTTCTCTTCAGGCTCCTGGGAGGATTTCCTTCTCGCAGATCTAATCACTTTTGTGTGAATGATTCTGTCACCCTGGAATTCCCTTCCCCCGGTCTACCTGGAAAATTCCCACTCATCCTTTAAGGACTGGTTCAAATGCTGCCTGCTTTAGGGATACTTCTTTGTCCCCATTTTAAAAAGGAAATGTGCATAGAGTACCTATTATGTCCTGGGCAATTCACAAAGCTATTCGTAGTTTGACATTTCAAGGACACTAAAAAATAGAGGAAACTGAGCCCAGGGTGGTGAAGTGACTTGTTTGAGGTCACCCAGCCAGCACGGGGCGAGCTGGGGCTGGAATCCACATCTTCCTGATTCAAGGCCCATGGGCATGAGGCACCATCTTCAGCAGCCCTGGAAGGATGAGCTGGTGGCACTGCTTATTCATAAGTTCAGTGAGGGTGGTCCTGTTTATCTGGGGGTTGGGAATAAGGAATCTGAGACCCTAAAAAGTCCCGAATCACCCTCAGTATTGCAAGAAGCTGTTAGCCCAGGGAAGAGACAGAGATATTTGAGCAAAACACATCTGCCTTCACTGTTCAAAGATATGTTTCTTGGTCAAATGTCAGCCGGAAGCTTCTAACACCCGAACCGCCTGGTTGCTAACTTTTCTGGGCTCATGAACCTGCAGCCCAGGAATGAGGTGGCTTGTCTCCTCCCCGGAGGCCTTGACTCTTCCTGACTCCCTCTTTGCCTAGATGGCGCTCATCTCTTTGTCAGGCATCAACTTGAATGTCCCTTCCTTGGGGACGACTTTCAGGAACTTAGAGTCCCTCATACACACTATCTCCTCCATGGCTCTTGCCTGAACCGGAGTTACATTTGGAATCAAATTGGGAGAGTGGTTTGTTTAATTCCTGCCCCTCCTGCTGCACTGCGAGCGCTGTGAGGAGAGGAATAGTGATATTGGTGCTGCTGTTCTTTAGCCCACGGCTTTACCTCCAACCCCTCAGTGCCTGGTACATGACCCTCAACAAATCTTTGTGGACTCCGTGAAGGTCACAGAGCAGATGCCCAGTGCCTTCTCCTTGAACAAGTGTGACCGAGTGGGAGGTTCTGCTCAACTTCTGCCGCTAGGGGGCAGAATCAGGAGACTGCTCGTGGAAAGGCCATTCCCAGGATGCTGAAGTCATGGTCGGGGGCGCTGTTTCCTGGTGAGGCGCTCCTAGGAAAAGGGGAGCGAGGAAAAGAAGAGGCCCAGGAAAGGCGCTGTGGGGAAAAGAAGTCTAGACCTGGTCTCTAGACGCTGGCACTCACTTGGTCCTTCCACCTGTCTCCTCTTCTGGAAAACGGGCATTTGGACAAAACGCCACCTAAGGCTCTTTCCCACACCTGTAGTTAATGTTGGCAGGATGTGGTAGCAAATGGCCGAAACTGAGGGCTGCGGCCAGAGCATAAAAGAAAGAGAGACCCTGACCTTGTGGAGCTTACTTGCTAGTGGAAGGAGACAGCAAAGCCAGTAGACGAATATATAAGGCGATGGGGTGGTGATAAGTACCATGGAGGACAAGGCAGCAGGAGAGGACAGCAGAGGTGCCTGTGGGAGCTCTTCTGAGGGGTGGCCCGGCCGGTGAGGTGAGGTGAATGAAGTGAGCGAGTGAGCCCGGCAGGTATCTGAGAGGAGCCTCTGCTTTTTAAAACAATCAATCAATCAATTTATTTATTTATTTATTTTTATTATTAGTTTCAGGTGTACAAAACAATGTAACAGACATTTCACCCCTTTCAAAGTGATAACCCCCCTCCCCCAATCTGTTGCCCCTCTGGCATCACATATATCTACTACAATTCCATTGACTCTATTCCCTGTGCTGTACTCCATGTCCCGTGCCTGCCTCTGCTTTTAAGGGACTTCTGTTTCTAAGTTGCTGGTCTCTGCATCT